GCAGGCAGCGGTAGGCGCCCAGGGAGGACGCTCCTGGCCCGCAGCTCCCGGCGCCCTCGCCTCCCGCGTGGGGAGGGCGGGAGGGAGGCCCGGCACAGGTACGCACGCGGGGAGGGCATCTGGGGGCGGCAGCGGCTGAGGGCCCTCGGCGGGAGGGTGGCGAAGGAGAGCCAGCCTGACCTCGCGGCCCGGCCGAAGGACATGCGGCTCGAGGGGACCGGGAGCGGCGGGTCCTCGCGGGGCCCGGCCTCCCTGGGCTGCCTGGACACCCCGCGACTGGCGCCGCCCGGCCCGGTCCGGCCTGGCCCGGCCCAGCAGCGTTTCTGGTCAAGGGCAGGAGCAGGGGGTGTGAGCTGCGGGCGGCCGGGCGCGGATGCGGCGGGTAGCCGGCAGGCTGTGGCTTTCTGCGTGGAACTTTGGGTATGACAGCGTGGACCTGCGTGTGCGTGTGTGCGCGCCCGGAGGCTTTGTGTACAACTCGTGCGTGTGTCTGTCGACTGGGTTTTGTGGAGCTTCACCCACGTCCGCTGTGCGTCAGTCTCTCCGCGAGTGAGTGCGCACGGTGGGTGGGGTGCTGCGCCTGGCGGTCCTGGCTCACATCTTAGCAGTCCCGGGCTACTGACGTCTGTGCAAGCAGCCCCTCTGCCCCTCGGGTGTGTGTATGCCAGAGTGGCGCCCCATGACTGTGCCATTGCTCCTGGCCAAGTTCCTGGCTGTGGAACCCATGACACTGGGCGCAGCTAGTACCGTTGTGGGGTGCGCCCTCAGCGGCAGCATGTTAGTTTGTTTCCTTTTGAGGGTGGTTGACTGGGCCTGTCTTTGTGCGGTGGGTATTTTGAACCTGGCTGGGCAATGTCACACTTCTGGTGAGAGGGAGCCCCCTTTTAATCCACCTGCTCTTCCCAATTCTGGGGCCCTAAGGAAAAGTTCCTGCAGGTTGAAAGAGGACCCTACTCCCAGAAGTTGGGTGCCCTCTGGGACATGGCGGGGAAATACGCTAGTGTGAGAAAGGGGCACTTCTGCCACTGGGCAGACAGGGTCACCACCAGTCCCTGTGGGTGAAGGGATGCTCAGGGAAATGCCTTTGGTGCCAGGGGAAAAGCCAAAGCAGCACTCCTCTCCTTCAGAAAGTGGAAGTGGTTTGGGCAGGGCCTGGGCCCTTGCAGGTACACCCACCTGTGGGGGCACTGCCTGGGCAGACTGCCAGGCCACTCTGAGGCTGGCTGCGTTCCAAACCCTCTACAGGGGTGGAATTCAAACGTACCCCTGGCCTCAAGCTGCTCACCTTCGCTTTCGAATAGTGGGATCAAATGGAGGGGCTGTGATGAGCACTGTGGGGGCAGGGAGGGCGGGTCAGCCTGTCCTGGGGTGGGACTGGGGGGCGCTGGCTGGCAGGTGTGTCGTGACACTGATCCTCAGGGCATGCCCGGGGATGCCATGCGTGCTGGGGGATCTTGGCCACGTTTTGTAGGATGGAGTTCGAGATTCCTGCTCCAAGGCGGGAGAGGGTCGCACCAGGTGCTCCTGAGCGAAGTGCCTGCTGGAGGGCCCAGAGGGCGTGTAGACACTCAGTAAACATTTATTAAATTGGGACTCGGGAAAGGAGGTGGGGAAAGAAGCAGGTTGTAAGTGGCAGGAGGCTTTGTACTCAGATGAAAGGCCCTGCGTGTGCTGGGGGGAGGTGTGTGATGCAGGTCTTTGTTGGAAGGGAGATCAGAAAGGTGGATAAACGTGCCTTCCTGCACTGGAACTCTTGGCGTCTCATTCATTTATTCATTCATTCATTTTTTTCACTTCATTAATTTGCTCATATTCTCTGTCTCCCTCTCTCTCTCTCACAATTCTCTCTGTGTAATTCTCACACAGAATTACATACATTATATACAGAGCACTGGAGAAGCCCAGGCATTGAAATGCAGAGAAACATCTAGAATATGCATGTCTGTGTAGACATGTATAAATGGATAGATACACCAGAGCACTCTGCCCCTGAGAGTATCGTCCATTAATGAGACTGGGGTCTGTGTACCTGGGGTCCTGAGTGTACGAGCACCCAGGCTATCGGTGTTGGAGGAGGCAGTGTGGAGTTCTGCTGTGGGGTCTTTGTTGGGGAATGGGGTCACAAGGTGGGATGGGAGGGTTCTGTGTGGGAGACACTGGGTCTTTCTATGGGGTCTGAATCATCAACTCCAGCTGAGTATTGTGAGGGAATGGGGGCTTGGGGTGACTAGCCTCCTTCATTGTGCAAAACCAGGCACCCAAAGCTGGACTGTAAAATCCTACGTTGGCCAACTACAAAAATGACCAGAAACAAAAATGCCAAACTTTTGTGGGCCAAATAGCACCCACAGGCTACGAGCTGGTATCCTTTGACAGGAAGGCTCGTGTGTGGTCTATCTATCGGGGCGGTGTGTGGATAGATGCTTAGGTGGGGCAGCCCCTCTGGTACACAGTGCACCCTCTCCTGGGTCCTTAGCCAGGTCTTCCCTGCTCTCCTAATCACATGAAGGCATTTGACTGGCTCGTCATAACTCTCAAATATGCCGCTCCTTCTTGGCCTCCTGACCGCGTGGCCTCCACGCTGCTCCTTCCATTCCCTCTGTCCTCCATGCAGCAGCCAGGGACAGCTCTGTGAAACCTAGGCCGGTCTCAGCATGCCCTACTCAGACACCTCCCCTCCCTGGCTTCCTGGCTTCCAGGCCTGGGTGTCAGTACCCTTGGGGAGCTGGTCCCAGCGGCCCCCCAAAAGCCCCCATGCCCCTCTCCATGTGCTTTCATCCCCTCACTGCTGGGCGATTTTCCACCATCCTTTGAAGTCACATTCAAGTGCCACCAGCTTCTAGAAGCTTCCCTGACTTTCTCCAATTTGTTCCCACACCACCTCCATCATCTTTACCCACCACTTTCCCCCATCAGCCTCCGCTCATCACAATAGTGCCCACTGATTAAACTGGCTGGACCTCATGTCCGTTATTTTATGAAATTGTCACATCATCCCTATGGGGGAGGCATTTTGCTTGTTCCTATTCAACAGATGAGAAAACTGAGTGTGGGGAGGTCTTGTCATTTGCCCAAACTGCTGGGGTCAATGGGGGATTTGAACTCAAGGCCACTGTATTTAAATTCCCCCATTATAATAATAACTCACGGATGCTTACCGAGCACCGTTGTTCGTGACCTGGATGGGGATTCTCCCAGTCCTTACCTCAGCCCTGTTAACAGGGAGCAGAAACAGAGGTGGGGAAAGCTGTGGCCCAGAGGGGTAACCAGTGAATCTCCCAAAGCCATGTGCGGGCAGTGGAGGATTGCACTGCTCTGCCATGGCCTTACTCTCTGTCTCCCCCTCTCGGTGGGCTCCCTGGAGTGGGGACTCTGCCTGGTGACTCTGGACAGTCGCCTTGCTCCGGGCCAGTGGGAGTCTGGCACCAACACACTCTTGAGGATTTGCTAAATTCGACTAACTTTCTGTTTTCTCTTCTAGCAGCCAAGGGGCCGAGGGATGAGCTGGGGCCCGCCTTCCCAATGGCATCTCCCCCCGGCCTGGAACTGAAGACACTGAGCAATGGTCCCCAAGCGCCAAGGAGACCAGCGCCTCTGGGCCCCGTCGCCCCACCCAGGGAGGGCGTGGAGAACGCCTGCTTCTCCCTGGAGGAGCATGAGACCCATTTCCAGACCCCTGTGGACGCCAGACTGGGCAGCTCCTCCAGCCCTCCTGGGGGTGTCCCCTCGTGGTCCCGATCCCAGCGGGATGACTTATCCCTGCGCTCAGAAGAAGGGCCAGGCCTGGAACCTGTGAGCCGCCCGGTGGACTATGGCTTCGTTTCTGCTCTGGTTTTCCTGGTGAGTGGGATCCTTCTGGTGGTGACAGCATACGCCATCCCCCGAGAGGCCCGCGTCAACCCAGACACGGTGACAGCTCGGGAAATGGAGCGGCTGGAGATGTACTACGCCCGCCTGGGGTCCCACCTGGACAAGTGCATCATCGCGGGCCTGGGCCTGCTCACAGTGGGCGGCATGCTCTTATCGGTGCTGCTTATGGTGTCCCTGTGCAAGGGGGAGCTGTACCGCCGGCCCACCTTCGTCTCCGGCAGGGGCTCCCGGAAGACCTACGGTTCCATTAACCTGCGCATGAGACAGCTCAATGGGGAGGCCCTGGTGGAGAACGAAGTGGTCCAGGTCTCAGAGACCAGCCACACCCTCCAGGGGTCTTAACTAAGAGCCCCCGATCTGCTTTATCTCCAGGGCCATGAGGCCCCAGAGGGCCTGGGGCTTCAGACTGAGCTCACAGAGGGTCCCGTGGAAGGAGTCTTGGGTGCTGGAGGGGAGCCCAGGGCCTGGCTAGGCTCCACTTGGGAGAGTGGTGCCCCAGTCTGTTTTGTAGTTTGAGGTTTTGCCTAAGGTTCTGCTTGGTGGATGGATTCTGCTGCTACAAATACAAAAGTTTGGAAACTGCTGCCCTTGAAGGATGAGGTTTCTTGGTATTTCTGAGCACCAGGAGCTCGCTGAGGGGCTGCCTGTCCTGCTCCCCAGGCCTGGGGGATTCAGGGAGCGCTGCTCTCCTCATCAGCAAATACAGGTGTAGTGACCTCACTGGGACCTTGTTCAGCCCTGACCAGAGAAGGTGGGAGGTGGCTTCAAAATGAGGGGAGAAGTCAGTGCTGGTGTCAGCCTCCCGCCTCTGCCTGTCCCCGACTTTGCAGTGGGAGTTTAGACTGGATGATGCCTCCAGCTCTGGCCTAGGAAGGAGCTCCCAGTATCCACTGCTGGCTACTCCTTCATGGAGGAGGGGGGCAGCCAGGTATTGACCATCCTTTGTGCCATTTTCTGGCCCTGCTTTGGGGACCACCATGGGCAAATAGCCAGCAGCGTGCCGGGTCCTATGGACAAGGGGTCTTCTCTCCAAGAGAGGGTGAGGGCTTTGTGCAACAGAACGTGATGCGGCCTTCACTGCCTGCCCCTCTCCATAGCGTGTCTCTGGGCCTGACCTTGTTCTGGGAGTAGAAGAACAAACTTCAGGGCTGACATGTAACCCCGCCCCATCCCTTAGCAGCCCCAGTGGACTGGAGGAAAATAGGGCACATTCTGGTGGCCGGGAACTCCAGCCATACCCATCACTGTTTGTTTCTCTGGTCGGATGGCTTCAGGCTCTGTCCAGACTGTTAACTCAGGAAAGGAAAGGAAAGGGACCCAGGGGCTGAGATACAGGCATTTGAGGACAGGGAAGGCGTGTCTGAGCGGGCCTAGGGGACATCAGCAGCACCTGTCTTCTGGGCCACTGCTGAGAAGACTCTAGCGGGGTCACATCAGTGACTTCAGCCCCAGCAGATGTGGCTTCCTCCATCTCAGTTGGCCTGGGGGCCCTGGATGCTGTCCCATGGGGTGGGGAAGGCTGGTGGGCCTGGGCTCTGTGGGCTCACCAAGCCCTTGTGAACTGTAACATGAGCTCTCTCCTCCACGAGGTGAACATCTGGGCGGTATAACATGACAGCACCAATGACAGATCAAATATCTGTTCCTGCTGGCAGGGTTGTCCAGGAGCAGAGGGCTGGAGGGGACAGGGCTGATTCAGCTTTGCCAGCCAGCCTCTGTTCTGGTGTTGAAGGGCTGTGGCTTGAGCAGAACAAAGCTGCAAGCCCACGAGGGAGTCACCAGCCCAGGGCTTCCACTGAGGAGTCAGTTTCCCCACGCTCCAAGCAGGGGTGGAAGCTTAGAAGTGGCACGAGCCATTCTAGACGAACAACATTGGAACTGATCTTCCTAAATGATGCACTGAGGTCTTTCAAATCCATAAGAATCATCACAGTATCAATCCAAGCCACGTGGGTTTCTGTGCTGGCCAGTGAAACTCATGTGGAGACTGAACCTGGGGAGCAGATGCATCTGGGGCCATCACATCGTGCCTGTTTAAATGCAGGGAATTGTATTGAGGGACTAAGTGTGTTTGAAGATTAAATCCCAGGAATCTCAGGTTTTCTCCAAGCCACAGAATCCTGCTTTGCATCCGAATGCAGAAACTCCTTTAGAGAATGTATACAATGGATTGAGCCCGTCATTACCCTGTCAGGGAATTAAGGAACCCCAAGAGCTGCCAAAACCATTTCCCCAAGATTGCAGCTTCGCTCTCTTAGCCGGTTTCCCAGGAACAGGGCTAGGAAGGAGTGCGAAAGAGCAAGTCCTGGTGCCTCTGCATGTTTGGGGGGAGGGCTGGGTAGGGTGGACAGTTCCCAAGGCACCCTGTGGCTGCTGCAACTGCCTTTCTTCCAGGAATTGCCTCTCCCACCTGACAGGCGATAGGGTCCCCAAACCTTGCTTTTCCCCGCAGAACTTAAAGTGACTTTAGAATTGGTAAGGCCTGGGTTGGAATCCAGGCAAAAGCCAAAATTCTCCCCTGGTCAGATGCACCTTTACCTCCAGACTCCTCATTTGCACAGACCCCTTCTGAGATTTCATTCAAGTTTTGATTTGCAATTTTGATGTTTTCAAGCTTCAGGCCCATCCCTTAGCGCCCTGGTGAAGTCCAGCCCCCTGTTGCTCTGACCCCATTTCCCACCCTGGCCTCTTTGCTGCCTCCTGCTCGAGCCAGACACAGCCCTTGATGCTCCTCAGCCTCGCAGGCTCATTCTCACCTCAGGGCCTTTGCACCATTGCTCCTACCTGGAAGGCCCTGCCCCTTGCTATCTGCAAAGCCCACTCACTCCCTCGCTTCCTTGGGGGCTTTATCCAAATCTCACCTCAGTGAGGCCTTTGCTGACTGTCTGTTTAAAATTATATCCCTTTCTCTAAATCTCTCTTTCCCTTCATTGCTTTGTGTTTCCTCTGGAACACTACCACCAGCCTAGTGTCCAGGGAACATCTCTGCCTTGCATTTTGGGAAGGGACTGTGTGGCCTGGTCTGGGAACAGTTGAGCAGGTCTTGCAAGGCATCCGTCCCTGTAGACCTTAGCATGAATCATTCGCCTCTCTGTCCTCCAGAGTGTTCTGCAATCACCCCAGGCTGGGTAGGTTTATCATCAGTTCAAGCAACTTGAAAGAGAATCTTGGAGCCCGGGACATCCCCCTTACAGGTTAGGGGAGACGAGGCAGCAGGGAGTCAGCGACTTGGGCCCCCTGTGAATCCCTATACGAGCCTGCTTTCCTCCCGTAGCCATTCTTCACTGCTCTCCGCTGCATTCTGCCGCACAGGCCTCAGGGACGCTGCCCTTATATACGCTCAGGCTCTTGGCTAAGGTGTGCCCATGTATGCATGCCCACACCATATTCCAGGTGCGCTGAGCCCAGGCTCCCAAGGGCTTTTGCATTCAAGGCTGCAGGTGATAGCCACAGAGGTCAACTGCGCAAAGAAGCCTGAGCATCTTCATCTATCCCACACAAAGTTAACTGTCCCACTCTGCCTTCTCCGGGAGCTGGGGGTCATGGAACACAGTGTGGGCTTCCTGAGTTAAGGCCATGGCGCCCTGTGTCTGGAGAGCTTTGGAGGGGCAGGAGGTGGGAGGAAAGTGGGGTGCTAGGAACGCAGTCAAGGAGATGCCCTCCAGCTGGGTCTGCGGGCTTCTCTGGGAGAAAGTACACCCTCTTGATGCCCCAGAGGAGGGAAATTTTAGCTAAGAGGAAAGACTTGCTGGGATCCTGCCTGGGTGGGAGCTGCAGGGAGCAGGCCAGCATTCACTGGTCAGGGGCTGGGCAGCTTCAGGAAGTGACGTGGCACTGGGGGGGACTTAATCCAGAGGCTCTTCAGGCTTTCAATCGCTTCCTTGCAAGAGAGCCGGGGCCCTGGTGGCTGGAGACTGCTGAAGGTGGTAGCAGCCCCAGCCTGGCCATGTCTTCCTGCTTCCCATCCAGACACCTCTGCAGATCATGCTTCGCCCTGGGCTGGGCTGGGCCTGAGCAGATGGGCAGACCAGGATACCCGGGTCACAGCTTCCTCCTCCCAGGGGGTGAAGCAGCACTCCTGTGCTTTCTCCCTACTCACATCTCAGGGGCAGGACCACTGGGCCTTTTGAGGGGGGAGGCTCCTCAGATAAGGGGGTAAGGAAGAGCACTGGCTCTGGAGTTTAGTGCCTCGGATGTTTGGTGGGTGTCCCCAAACCTCTGTTTCCTCGTCTGTAAAATAGGGAGAGGAGGCTCACGGCGGCACTTTCACCTTAAGCCACAGTGGACGGTGCATGGCATCTACAAAACACCCAGCACTGCGCCTGGCACTTTATAATCTCTCAGAGCACAAGCTGTTCATCCTTATGCATCCACACTGTCCCGCATGATCCCCTGAGGCGCTGCTTGGGGAAATACCACCGTGCAGACGCACCAGGCTGCATCTGGTGGAGGGGGGCAGGGTGCCGTGGAGGTATTTGAGCTGGAGTCAGAAAAGGCTTTCCTGGAAAGGATGTTGTCCTACAGGAATCTTAAAAGGCAGTATCTGAAGTGGGACGGGAGGAGGGAGCAGGAAAGGTATATGAGGGAGAGAGGAATGGCAAGAGCAGAGGCTCAGAGGCATAAAACAGCTTGGTGTTTACCAGGGGGCCAGTGGGAGCTGGAGGGCTGCAGGTGCAGTACTGAAGTGCGGAGAGGCATCGGCTGAAGGCCTCACCTTGGAGGGGTGTTTCACCCGTAGGCTAGGGGAGCCCACAGGAGATGCTGCGCTCACGCTGGCAGAGCCCAGCACGTGCCGCATGCGATGTGAGCTCAGCCGGCCACTGTGATGCTTGCAGATGTGTGTGCAGGGAGTGTTCTGAGGCAGGTGTATCACAGAGGTGACACTGGCACTGTGGAGGCCGGTGCATGGGACTGTGGTCTCCGACTGCAGCCAGAGGACATGACCTTGAAGTCCAGGCCTCCTTCTCGACAGCCTGTCCCTCTTTCAGCTCTGGGCCACTGGGGTTGAACTGGGGGCTGCTGCCCTCCTGGGCTTAGGGGAAGGTTTGTGAGAAGGAGGACCTGCTGGCAGGAAAGCTGGCCCCAGGGGAGCAGAGAGGGCAAGGAAGAGGCGGCGGCCATGCCGACCTTTCCCAGGTGGTTGGGCATCCTGGCAGAACTGACTCAGGGCCCAAGACATTCAGAAAAAGCATTTCTCTACCTCTTTGGATCTTCTTTGCCTCCAGTCTCTCCCCATCTTCCTTCACTTTTTGATTCCTCTGTGCCCACATCTCTTTCCACTGAATCACTCCTGGGGATGGCGTACCCACGAGTGAGTTGTTACTACTGCTGACTCACCTGCCAGCTACCTGACTCTCCATCACAGGTAAAGCAGGGGCGACAGTTGCAGGATTAAAGAGGCATCTGTTTTGGCTCTGGCTGGCTGTTGTGCTCCAGTGGATGGGCTCAGGACACCAGAGGGCCCGGTTTTCTAAGAGCAGCTGGCCAGCTGAACTTTGTGTGGATAGAGGATGCTGAAAAGAGTCATCCCACTGCCAGGGAATTGTGACGGAGTCCGAAA